TGGCTCATTTTGCTTCCTTTAGGCAACATAAAATGGGAACCTACAATGTGCCAAGCATTGTGTGAGGTTTTATGATGCCATTCCTACCTTCAGGGAGGTTGTCATTCAGTTGATACCTCTAAAATAAGAATATGGACTGTGGAATCTGTAGCCAAAAGGCCTAAACTTAAGTGTCTCTGCTGTGTCATTTGGGCAAGTTTTTTAGAATTTTAGTATTTCATTTTTTATCAATGATATGAAAATAACAATAGCACTTACAGTTCTGGGTTGTTGTAGGGATTAATGGAAAGCAGAGAAGAGTAAAGTTTCTGAAATATCCAGTGTACAAGGAACAGTTGCTGAGCCAGGTGCTGGTGGTTCATGCTTATAATCTTAGCTACTTGGGAAGCTATCAAGAAGATCATGGTTCCAGGATATCTTGGGAAAAAAGTTTTTGAGACCCCATCTTAACAGAAAAAAAGCTGGGTATGATGGTGTGCATCTGTCATCCTAGCAAAGGCAGCGAGTATAAAATAGGATGGTAGCAGTCCAGTCCAGCCTAGGCAAAAAGTAAGATTCTATCTTCTAAAGAACCAGAGCAAAAAGAGCTGGAAGCATGGCTCAAGAGATAGAGAACCTAACTAGAAAGCATAAAGACATGAGTTCAAACCCCAGTATCACAAAAAGAAAAGAAAAGATAAAGTAATAGCTGCCAAGGGCAGAATGTGCCAAGAGACCCAAGAAAGACCAGGATAAATCCAGGACTGTACAGAACGCAATTCTTTAGGGACTTATAGACAGAAGTGTATAGCAAGACAGGAGGATCCCTCACCCTGAGACAGGAAGAAAAGGTTTATATGCTAAGGTAGACAAAGGTGGCCCATGGCCAGAGTATAACTGGGCTTTCTCAAAAACTATTAATGTTAAACATCATTTAAGAAAGCCTAAGCACCAGTGGCTTATATGAAACTCAACTATCTTAATGGCTATGTTATAGGGTTTGAATGAATGGGTTGTCCATTTATGTCACTTGGTTGGCAAAATGGTGGTTATTATAACCAAGATGGCAGTACTCATGTCAAGTTGGATACCTAGAGGTTGTGAAATAAAACATGATAATATGTAAAACTGAAGTGTTTCCTTCTTTGACTGAATAACCAGAAAGAGATTTTCAATCTAGTTGAAAGTTGAAGGAATGATTCCTCAGAGAGGGTTCATGGGTACATAATTACCTGGAAATATTGTAAGATAACTTTTAACTGTGGCACACCCATTCTCCAGCTGTCAGGATTGTGGACAGCTCACAGATCACTGCCGATGTCATTACCATGACAATCACCTTTAGTCTATAGCAGTTGCCTCGCTGAGTAGTTTTTGGGAGGTCACAGTTAATTTCTGGGGACAATCTGAGGCTGACTGATAATTAGGGAAACATGACCAGCTCTTTGCCTTAGATGGGATTTAGTCTATGGATCTCTTCATGCTCCAGAATACTCTGTGGGACCAGGCGGTGCTCAACCTCTGCTGAACACACATCACCACATGGCTTCTTTCCCTGTTCTATCCAACTTTCCTCCTGCCCCTTCTCTTAAGAGGGCTCCCCCAATTAATCGAATACATTCAAATTCACATTTCAGGCTTTGTTCCTTGGAAAATCAGCCTATGATAAGTAAGAAATGTTATTTTCTGACCTTACTTCAGAATACTGTCAGGGAAGTTCAGAATGATTTAGCAAACCAAATGTGAATGATGATAAGATAATAACACTCTAATTATAGTAACTATCAGGAGAAGAGATGCTCTTTTCAGGGTCATTCAAGAGAAGAACAAAATCCAGTGTAGTTGTAACCACACCATCTCTTTTCTGCCATGTGAACGCTAGGTTCTATTGCACCAAGTACCTGCCTTCTCATATAATCCCAGTGGAAAGCCTGGGCCTGTGGTGTTTCTCAATGGACCCTTGTTTTGGCTCTGCTTGGCATACCACTACCTGATAGAGGACTACAATCTTGTGAGTGATAATTTTGTCCCATGCAGTGTCTTTGGCAGGGTCTTTCCCCTGCCAAAAACTAAGTGGCAACTGGATGCCTGTCTTACTAGTTTCCCTGATGTACCTTGCCTTTCTCATTTATCAACCAGAGATTATAAAGTCACAGTCTCTGGAAAGCAGTCAACACCAAAGTTTTACTTAGCCTCAGATACCAGGCAAACAAGAGGGTATCTCAATGAGAAAAGAAAGAGGACTCTCTGGGAACTCTGCACTAATGCCTCTCATTGCCATGTACATAAAAGTTACAGGGAAATCATCTTAAAGTTCATGTGTTTCTGGACTCCACCATTTCAATGTTAGAGTCCTCACTAGTTCCAGGCTGCACAGAAGTCCTCCACAGTTACAGTCCAGTCATATCAACACCCACAATAATGGATTAAGTAATACCACCCTGGCCCGCAAAGATTAAAATCAATTTTTGATTTTAATTGACTAATTTTTCATAAGCGTTAATTCTAGTAGGTTTTGGATGGGGCCCAAAATCTGCATCTCTAACAAGCCATGTTCCTAATTGATGCTGTAATTCAAGGGTGATAAGCAAAGAAAATAATTTTTTTCAAAGCTGGAGTTTTGATTTTTTTCTGGGTCCTCCAACACTTTTTTTTCTCACTATGCACTCCAGGCTATCCTCAAACTCATGATATTCCTGCCTCAGGCTCCTTCTTGCTGGGCTTACAGGCATACATCACCACCCTCAACTCCCCTCTGTGCCCCTTTTGCATATTTTTTTGTTAACTGTAGTTGATGAATATAAAAGTAGTGGCCAATATATTAGTTTCTTACCTTTTCTTTCCTTCTTTCCTTTCCTTCCTTTCTTTTGCCTTTTTTTTTTTTCTTTGCCTATATTTGTATGTTGAGACAGGGAAATCACTATGTGTCCCAGGCTGGCCTCATATTCAGGATCCTCCTGCCTCAGCTTCCTTAATGTTAGGTGTGTGTCACCCCCCTGGACTTTCATTTCTTGATTAAATACTATGAAGCAAGCACTGCTATGGTCCCTGGGGATCTATCCTTGCTCTATGATATCTGATATTCAAGTGGGGGGAGGTGGACAAGGAACAGGTAAATAGGAAGGAAAGCAGGTAGAAATAAGACAGAGAAGGAAAATTGGGTCACAGAGCATGGGCATGCTGCAGATGGGTAGGTCAGGTATGGAGTCTCCGATGAGATAACATTTGAGTAGAAGTTTATGGGATTTGAGTAAGTAAGTCATGTTCTTGGGGAAAGACATTTCAGGGAACACAAACAGTATGTACAAAGACTCTGAGGAAGGAGTATGTTAAAGAAATAGCAAGGAGACCAGTCTGGCTGTACTGGAGCAAGGGGTGGGGAAAGTGGAAGGAGCTGACCCCAGAAAGATAAGAGATGCTAGATTTATACTATTATAAGATTTTACTTCAAGTGAGTTGTAAAGTCAATAGAGGGTTTGGGTCAGAGTAAAACAAGATATGCCTTACATTTTAAAGGAGTCCTTCTAGGTTTTGTGTACAGATTATCCGGGAGAAAGAAAGGACAGTTACAGATATATCACTACTGTTCTTGGGCAGACATGGCTCACAGTGGTGAAGGGCAGAAATGGTGAGAGTCTACATAAATCCTGCAGCTAAAGCAGTAGGTTTTTCTGATGGATCAAGTATGAGGAAAGCCAAGCATTATTCTAGGAGTTGGATGAAAGCAAATTGCATAATGGACTTGACATTGATTGAATATGGAAACAAGTGGGGAGATACAGATTTGGATGGACATCAAAAGTTGAATTTGGGTTATTTGGTTTGAGATGCCTTTTTAGCTTCCAAAGTAGATACAAAGACAAACAGCTGGTAAAATGAGCCTAAGTTGGAAGTGCAGGGAATGGGCTAGGGATATAATTTTAAGAGCCATCAAAAAGCAACAGGACTGATGAGATCAAATAAGGAGTATTAACGGCAGAGCTGTCCTGGTAGTGAGCCTGGGGATATTCCTGCGTTAGAGGTTGATGAGAGGAAGTGATAGAGCACAGAAGAAGCCAGAGGGGTAGGATATTTCAAATCTAAACAAGAGTAGAGTCCATATAGGAAGTGATCAGGAGGAGTTGGTAGAAAAAGTATAGCAAATATTTTTAACTAAAGAAATGGAAATATTAACTACCCTGATTTGATTACTATGTCCTATATACATGCATAAAATTATCACTGTGCCCCATAAACTTGTATAGTTAAAATAATAATTAATAAAAATAGATTTTAAAAAAAAGTATTGCAAAGAGACATGACATAATCAAAACTGCCTTAGCTAAAACTCAACAGTCCAGAATTCTCAACCCAGATTTGCTTTCCTCTATTTTAAGGAATGAATAGTAAAAAGGATTCAATAAAAGAATAAAGATATTAAAATATTTGGTACAAAAACAAAACAAATCAAAATTCTATGCCTGACTAGTCATCTATATGCATCCTAAATCTTGCATTTCTTTTATTTATTATCACAGTATTATACAAAAATTGGCATTTAGAAGGATTGCTTCAGGGCCTCTGTGAGTACATAGATAATCAAAGATTTAATTATTAGCCCAAAATAGAGCCATGCATTTTAGAAAAGATGTTAAATAATAAATGCTGATATTTTAAGAATTCTGAGGCAACATGATTGCTGTGATGTGGTGGGATTGGGACAAGAATACGTGAGTGAATAAAGATGACATGCTTTGAAGAAGAACGAAATGTTATCATTCGCTGGTAAATGGATGGAATTGGAGAACATCATTCTGAGTGAGGTTAGCCTGGCCCAAAAGACCAAAAATCATATGTTCTCCCTCATATGCGGACATTAGATCAAGGGCAAACACAACAAGGGGATTGGACTTTGATCACATGATAAAGCAAGAGCACACAAGGGAGGGATGAGGATAGGTAAGACACCTAAAAAACTAGCTAGCATTTGTTGCCCTCAACGCAGAGAAACTAAAGCAGATACTTTGTTTTTTTTAAATCATTTATTGGTTTATTGTCTCTACTAAACACATTAGTCATTCATCATTTAAATATCTTACTTCATTAGAAACTGTTTTAACACTTTCTCTCCCTCCTGCCATAAAAATACAGTAATTTGCTTTTTAGAAAAACCCACTATGAACAAGCATTCTGGTTTCTTCTCACTTCTAATATGCTTCTCAGACATAGCAGTTTATAAATCAATTAAGACAGTAGGCTAAAGACTGAAATTCAATCTTCCACTTGAAAGTGCCAAACTCTGCAACCTGCTCTTTCTACAGCTGTCTCTCCATATCCTAACATATATACAACCAAAACTGACTTAAAAACTATTAAATAGTGCTGATTTCCATCTGCTCTATTAGTTTAAATGAATGCAACTTACCTTCAGCATTATATTCATAAAAATACTTAAGCCTCAAGGTCCCCAATAATTTGGAGTACTGTATTAGATAACCACGCTAAGACACTTCTGACAGAAGTAACGCATCACCTAATGAGAGGTTTCCACAACCTGCTGTTAGAACCTATGCATACATGGAAAACACTGATAACCAGTCACTGTTCACACCATTTACTCTTCAGGCAGTCCTTTGCCATTAGTCAGCTTAATTAGGCCAGAGTCCAGCAGGAAAGTGCATGGTGCACCAGATTCACCATCTCTTAAGTTGCTACCGTTTTCTCTTCTTTACTGAAAGGCTGTACTGAACCAGGCTTTACCCATGACAGGCCAGCAACATGAACACTTTTATTTTGTTGTTCTTCAGGCTTCTTTTTCTGAGTCAGCATCTTCTCTCTGGCTTCTTCATGTACAGAAGGATTCCATGGAGAAAAGCTAATTGCATAGGGGTCTTCTATCTTAGGCTGGTCAAACAAATGAGTAGTGCACACCTTAACACTGTCAAGCACTTTACTTTTAAAAAGATGAACATCTTTTTCATACAGTACTGCAGCCTCTGGGTTTAGGGGGCTTGATGTGTCAATCTTGTAGAAGACTCTCCTTGCATACATTAAAACTTGCCAAATATGATTGTGGTTCCGCCTCCATTTTGCAAATGCTCTCTTCACATCTAGTTCACCTGAAGTGGGATCAACTAGCGGGTGAAAGACCAGAATATCAAACACCAAGTGTGGGCAATCACCATCTGGGTAGTTATCAGGGATGTAAACTGCAAACTTGAATACGCCATCTTGATAAAGCCCATGCCTTATGAATTACTGCAAACCACATTAATGCTGAGCGATAAGATGGCTGCACATAGACGCTTGGCAACTTCTGCTTCACAACCAAGGTAAATTCTGCAAGAAGAGAGTATTCCAGGTAGAAGGGTCCATAAGAAGCATGTGTGCCATTTGTTGACTGTGCTGCTGGGGCAGGAGATGTAGGCTTTGTTATAGGCAAAGCATTTTTGGGAATAGAAGGCAACTGTTTTTTTGGTGCAGTTCTTGGAGGACTATTTTTCACGTCCCCCATTAATGTCTTCTCTTCACCATCTGATCGTTTGCGTCCAGAGCTTGTAGACATGCTCCACAAAGGGTTCATAACGTGTACTGTAAACAAAGAAATTCAGTCGTCTATGTCATCAAACTCTTCAGCACTCACTTTACCAGCCGGCTGGGCAGCGAGCCTTACAAAGGTGCCTTCAATGTAGGGTTCCCGGCTGCCGAGCGCCAGCCAGGCCTCTGCCTACTCCACTCCGCTCCGCCCCGCCCCGCCCTCTAAAGCAGATACTTTAAAGCAACTGAGGCCAATAGGAGAAGGGGACCAGGAACTATAGAAAAGGTTAGTTCAAGAAGAATTAACTTAGAAGGTAACACACATGCACAGGAAATCAATGCAAGTCAACTCCCAGTATAGCTATCCTTATCTCAACTAGCAAAAACCCTTGTTCCTTCCTTTTATTGCTTATACTCTCTCTTCAACAAAATTAGAGATAAGAGCAAAATAGTTTCTGCCAGGTAGCGAGGGGTAAGGGGATTAAGGGAGGGTGCTGGGGAGGGGGCGGGGGGGAAGGGGGGAGAAATGATCCAAACATTGTACACACATATGAATAAAATTAAAATTGAAAAAAAAAAAAACATGACATGCGTCTGGAATTCTCGTCTCCCAACTCATTCCATTTACTTTCTAAAGTCAACATATTTCTTTATCATTCCAAATTTAAATGAAGGAAAGAGGGAAATTTTTCTCTTTTGTGGGATTTTTTTTTTTTTGAGACAGAATCTTGCTATATAGCTGAAGCCTGCCTTGAACTTGAGATCTTCCTGCTTTTCCCTCCCTAGTGCTGGTGTTACAGGAGTATAGCACTAAGCCTGGCACAGAAAAGAGGATTTTGAGGTCAGCAATTCATATTGCCACAAAGAGACAAAAAAAATCCCACCATGTATCTTCTCCACTTTCTTTATTCAATGGTAAGTTAGATATTAGAAAACTACACAGCAGAAACTGCTAGTCCTTGGGAATATTATCTAGATTTGGAACAAAATAAGTGTTATAATAGTAAACTATAACACTTATAACACCCAGTATAAATTGTTTATATACTAGGACAGTACAGTTCTTGATTGAGCCTCTGGTTACATTCTCTACTCCCTTAACATTCTCTACTCCCTCTATTCTGTCCTGGAGAAAATACTTTTGCTCATCTTTCTGACCCTAGCCTAAGAAGAAGGCTTCCTCCTAAGCTCACACATCCCTATATCCTTCCAGCTCCTCTACCCTCTCCCTTCCCATAGGGTCTGGATCCATTCTGCACCAAGACTCACTATATTGTGAATGACTTCGCCTATGTTTTCATAAAGAACAGAGAGGAAGATGAATATTAAATCCTCCAAATCCAGAAAGCTTTGAAGATTTTGTATTTTCTCCTTAGATGACCAAATTTTCCTCCTCTCACTTCAGGATGCTTCTAGGCTACAACATTAACAACCACGTTTGGGCTATTTCAGATTGAAAAGACGACAGGGATTTTGGAAGAGGAAGTGGAATTTAGCAAGAAGCTTAGAAGGGAAGGAGAAAAGAGAAAGGGCAATAGGCCACTTGCACTGGGGGTGTTTTGAGATGGAGTATGCAGGAAGGGGTGTCCATGGGTAGTTATTTTATCTTTGCATTTAAAGACAGAAACCATCTTTGCCAGAAAGATCTGCAGGATGGGTTTTTCTCTCTGTCTTAAGTTGTATTTTGTAACTAGAGGTGGGAGAGGCCAAAGATGAAGTGAATATTCAGTAGGACAAGATCCTTGTCTGCATTTAATATTCTGAGTGAAAGACATGAATATAAAGATAAGTATATCCTATGAATACTAATACAAAGACAAGAAAGAGAGACAGCTTCAGGCTACTATTTACATGCTTTATCTCATGCTCAGTCAGCACTTTCCTGGAACCCATCTGTCCTTAGTATTTACAGGAAGAAAATGAATTTCTTAAACATTTTGAAGATATTAGAAGAAAGGAACTCAAGAAAGGAGTCCATGTGGTTGAACTTAGAGGTGTTAAGAAGCAGAATCTATATCCCAACATCGTTGTTTCTGGGATGCACATTTATGTAGCAGTGAATTATCATCTGATCAGTGGCTGATATAATTTTTATTCCCATCATGATTCCTTGTTTCTTTTTCAATCATAGATTTTTCTCTATAACTAGAATTTTTCTGTCATGCATCACCATAACCCCTTGTTAGTCTCATAACCAGGGGCATTCTTTGGTAAAGATGGATCTCACTTTAAGATAACGGTTTAAGGTCCCAGGCATCATAGGGCAGGGAGGTGGTATACTGCTGTACCTAAGGCTGGGCCACTTACCGAGTAAATGTTGAAGGAAGACTTTGGACTGACAGTGGGCTCCCAGGGAAGCCCACCACAGTGGTCACTGAGGCACAAGCCTCCATTGAAACTTCTTACTTTCCATAGTCTCCTTCACTTCTAGGAGCCTGTTCTTGTCCCACCCTTGGCCTACATATTTTTTCACTTTCATTGGTTTCCCCATTCCGTCTAAATTTCTTTCCTCATTTTCAACACAAAAGTAGTAATGCAAGCTCTTATGGTTATTAGAGGACTCAAATGAATAATTAAAAATGTTTTGTAAACTGTAAAACAAAATGCTATCAGATGGCAAAAAAAAGAGTGTGAGCCAAGTTCAGAAGTCAATTGGGAGGGAGAAGAACTGAATCCAAGGAGTTGCATATAAAAGTAATGGTGACTTAAACTAAACACATAAATGAATGTATACATTTCTCTCATTGTGAATGGTAAAAATTCTCCAAGAGTAAGACTACCTGAGAGACTTCCTGCTTCTTCTCCCAGAAACCTTCTGATCATTTAACAATAGCCTTTCTACCAGATACACCCTCCTTCACAGTTAGGATTTGTGTATATATTTTCAGCAAGCTAAGTGGAAATTTGGCAGTTGTTTGCTTACTTTTCGTCATGTCCCCAGCCAAACTGAATTGATCCAAAAATAAAAATAGCCCTGACTAAATTTATCTGATTCAGTTTTCCACAGAGAAAGTTAACTGTTCGATGGCAGTTGAACACATTGTGTTGGGCATACAGGTTGGAACAGGGCAGACACATGTGTCAGAATTATTTGACTTTCTGATTATTTTTGAAACAGCAGTCTCAGAGATGGGTGGCCTCATTGACTGAGCCATGTCTAAACTGGTTCAGGCAAACACCTTGGCTAAATAGGCAGATTTCTCACCACTCAAATAGTGGCCCTGGGCTTTCATTGTAGTATCCTTTCATAAGCTTTACCCATGCATTGGAGCATGACAATGTTTGCTCTATATGCAGTATGTTGGTAAGTGATGCCTACTTTATAAGCTACCACAATGGTTCCTTTAAAGATCCTGTTAGAAAGATACCTATAAAACTACTGATAGATTGATAAACTAAGGTTCTTAAATTTGGCTCAAGTTTAGTTATCTGGTAAGCAGCAGAGCTGTCAGTGTTCCAATGGATATTTTTAGAGCCCAGAACCAATGATCCTTTTCCTCTACTTAACAGTTACCACTACTGTTAATCACTGTAAGTGCCATATCTTTGTGTATGATTCATTAGTCTATCTGCCTCACGATTCCTGGACCATCAAGACTCTACAGATATCCATGTAGGTTCTACCTCAACTTTAATATCTTTATTTTAATATGCTGTCCTTCCCTCTATTCTCCTTCTACCTGCCATCCTGGCTCTTTACTCTTTACTTATATATTTCAGTCATCTGAGTTGTTAGGCTTCTTCCAACTTCATATGGATACCACGAGACCCTCCATGTATAGGTTTGTGTGTGTATGTTTGTCCTTAACTAATTGTGCAGTTTCTATAGGTAGAAAATGCATTAGGTATTATACATCACCAATACCATTTATCATGATGTCATATACATATTTTGCACTCTAAACCTATCAGTGTATTTGTTTGTGTGTTTTGTTTTATTTTATTTTTGGCAGTACTGGGATTTGAGCTCAGAACTTTGAATTTGCTAGGCAGGAGTTCTACCACTCAAGCCATGCCTCCAGCCCTTTTGTTCTGATTATTTTAGAAACAGTGTCTTGCTTTTTTATTGCTGAAGCTGGCCTTGAACAGTGATCCTCTTAATCTTAGCCTCCCAAATAGCTAGGATTACAAGTGTAAGTCACCTGCATCTAATTTAAATCTATGTTTTTTTGAGACAGGGTTTCACTATGCAGCCTAGGCTAGCCTTGAGCGTTTGATTCTCTTGACTCACCTCCTGAGTATTGGAATTATTGGTATGCATCACCACTCCTGGTTCTAAATCTACATTCTAATAGATTGAATCTATTAAAATATATTTTAACAGATTGAATAGCAACAAACAGAATTAGTCAATAAAGGAAGTAGGAAAAACATTTTTGAATCAAATGTGGTGATGGGGACTGCTTGTTAGGAGTGTGGTTCCACCTGTGGTCTTCTACAATACATTTTTATTTCATCCTGACAGAAAAAATTGTCTTATTTTGCATTTCTTCAACTTTACCTATATTTCCCATTAGCCTCATCAGCCTTGTAGGAGAGCTTCTAATTTTCCATATCAATCTTTCCAAAGTGAAGTATGTATTAAAATACACCTTGAGAAAGTATGAATGTTATACGTTATTTCCACATAGAGACATGAATGATTATTGTAATTATCCTTCAGGCCCTGGCAGAAATTGGGCTATGCCTCCAAAGAATCAGGCAAGGTAAAAATTTTCACAATTTGATTTGGATAAGCTCTCTGAGATAACAGTTTTGGGACTAGATTATCTGAATTATTTGCCATCCATCTTCTTCCTTATTCAGTCTACAAATATTTATTGAGTTCTTACTACATGGTAAGCACTGTGCCAACAGAAAGGTATGGCAGGTAACAAACAGAGAGTCCTAGTTTCATGGCAATAATGTAGGGGAATATGACCTTAGAGGATGAGTGACTTACCCACTTTCTAATGTCCAACTATGAACAGAGCAATCTAGGAGTCAGTAAAAAAGAGAAAGATTTTCAGCAAAATTGTATCTTCAGTGTTATTGCCTACAGATCAGCACTTGAGTAGAAAAGCTTTATTTACACTAGACTTTATCTTTGAAGCACATCACTGCATG